TCCCTCCGTTCACATTATCCCTGTATCACTTGGCTTGGGCTATATGAATTTCTGCGCCTTCCAATAAGTGGTGTGTCTATTTTACCATCCTGAGTCTTGGCCCTGTCTTGTAACTTGCATTACGTGGGTAAGATTTGCCGAAGCAATGTGTGTGGCAACCTGGAGCCTAGGGACATTGAAAAGGGCTTTGCACGTTCCACTCACTTGCCTTGGGATTCATGCCATGTGGTGAGGTGAAGTCTGGACTGGATGGCTGGGGCTGAAACTATTTGGAGGAGAAATGGCACCCAGACAAATGTCCCCATTGATCATCTGAGCCAAGAGTAATCTCCTTGTTCCGGCAAAAACACGGATAGTGAGCAGGCCAAGAACAAACTTGACCTAATTCAGGCTGAGGGCCATGCTTAATTGTTAAACTGGACATCACTGAAGAAATAAGGGGTTTTCATCTTAAACCCTATGTTGAGGGTGATTTGTTTAACAAACTACTATTTAATAGTAATAATTTATTGGTCTTCCTAGACTTAAAAAAAAGACAAAACAACTATAGGTCAAAGACTTAAACAGGCAGTTACCACAACAGAAAACTTTCAAGTGATGAATATGTAACAGATTTTAACTGAGGTGTACAAAGAAATGGAAAATAAAAATCACGATGATTGGTAGACTAAAGGAACACCTAATGCAACTCCTCGTTTCAGAACATGAAGAGGAGGCCGGAGAGGTGGCTCACGCCTGTAATACCACTTTGAGCCAGGGCAGGTGGGTCGCCTGAGGTGAGAGTTTGGACAGCCTGGCCAACATGGCGAAACACCTCTCTACTAAGAGTTTACGCAAAAATTAGCCAGGCGTGAAACATTTTCTGCAAAATGGAGGTTTATGTAAAGGTCCCATTGTGTTTTATTACCATCGTTTGTCTCGCTGAGATCCCAGAGCACTATAGGCAACCAGAACAATATCTTTTGACTTGCAGAAGTCTAGCAATTTACTCTGGTTGAAATACGGATGACATTCTACCTGCAGTTGACCAAAAGAGAGAAGCATCAATTTATATGAAATAATTGTGTTAATATAAAAAAGGTGAAAGTGAAGAAGCTGAATAATAATCAGTATATTATTATATCTGAGCTAAGGATATTATTGTCCAGTAATAATCTTTTTCATAGAAGTATATTTTATAACCATATCTCCTAAAAGTATAAATAGAAATGCCATTTCTGAACAGAAGCTCATCTATGAATCAGATCCTGACTTTCAAAGACCTTTGATAACTAGAAGGAGATGTAACAAATTCCATATCTGGGATACAGTAAGATTCTTAGAGCCTTTGGCATCAGATTGTGCCAGAAAGCAAGAATTTGGTCAAGGACTCATGGGGGCAAGTCTGAAAGACAAAAGCACTACTTTCAAAGAAATGTCACTGGTGACGTTTGGATAGATTTCAGCATCAAGAAAAAAATTTACCCATTGGGTAAGAATAAGCACTAACAAAAATTAATAAAATTAATTAAAACTCTTAAGGAAAAATGTCCCAGTCCATAGTAATGAGGGAGATAATGAGAGAGCAAGAAAGAACAAAATAATCTGCCTCTACCATTGGTGGTTATTACAGTAATTTCTTTATCAGGAAATTGATATTTAGAGGAAAGTATTAAACTTGTACTTTGTCTTTGAGGAATATTTGTTCTTCATTTTGATTTGGTGAAAGATTCTTTTTCATAGTAAAATGTCACATTAGAATAGTTAAATAAGTTTTTAAAATTGAAAATGATTATCTAAAAACTCCAAAAAATAATACAATAATAACCATAAAATACAAAAATATTAGTGATATATATACAATCATATGTGAAGATTTGTCAGGAAATATGACTTCTTCTGTTGAGAATTATCACCCAGTGGATTATTAGTAATTGCTGAATGGAAAACATATGATTATAAAGAACAGATCATCTCATAACTCATTTCCATCCTGTTTTAAAAGGGAGTGCCATAAAAGACATTTCTATTAAACAATGGGAATTCAAATATAGACCGGATATTAAATGACATGAGGGCATTGTAGTTAGTTTTCTTAGATACAATAATTATACTGTAACTGGAAGAATATCTTCAGTTCTGTGACATAATATTTAGACCTGTAGAGGTGAATTGTCATCTTTCCAATTTATTTTGAAGAGGTTTTGAAAATATTATATGTATTTATGCAGATATACCCACATAAATAATTGCCACAAATATTTGACAATGTGGCAAAGTGTTAACAATTTTGAATATAAATGAGAATGTTGAATCATGTATTATTTTTATCAAATGTTCTGAAATTTTGAAAATTGTCATAATAAAAAATTGAAGGACTAATACTAAAACCACATTAATTTTCTTAATGTTTCTATTTTAATATGATGGAATTGTATCATTATGCCACATTCACAAATTTTATATACTTCATATTTCAATTATAGATCTTTACTCATTGGCTCTAGGTTGTATAAAAGTAAGAATATGAAAGTGTAAATTAGTAAAACGGTAGAGTGACTTTACTTTTGAATTTTTTGGTGACATTTGGGGGAAGTCAATTTGATCAAGGAGCCCTGGAATCAACAATAACGCAGGGGGAAAAAAGGACTTATTCCTAAGCTATGAAAAAACCATGCATAGGATAGATGTGTTTAAACAATTGATTGGATGACAGACCCCAAAGAGAAGTAGCACACTAAGATACAGGCAATGATAGGTCAGGTCTATGTTCTGCTAAAGTTCCTCGGTGTTGATTTCATCCACTGGTGAACAGTTATCTCCATAAACAGGTATTTTTCTTTCTTTCTTTCTTTCTTTTTTTTTTGACGGCCGTTTCACTCTTGTTGCCCAGGCTGGAGTGCAATAGCATGACCACGGCTCACCACAATCTTCTGCTCTGTGGTTCAAGGCGATTCTCCCTGCCTCAGCCTCCCAAGTAGCTGGACTTACAGGTGTGTGCCACCACATCCAGCTAATTTTTTGTATTTTTAGTAGAGAAGGGATTTCTCCATGTTGGTCAGGCAGGTCTTGAACTCCCAATCTCAGCTGATCGCCTGCCTCGGCCTCCCCAAAGTGCTGATTACAGGCAGTGAGCCACCGCGCCCAGCCTAATTTTCCGTTTCTGACATGGATGACCTTCATTGTCTGCAACTAATTTTTAGCACATCTATGCCCCTGGTCCAAGAATTCTTGAAATATCAAAGAGAGGCATTCAGGCATCCAAATTCCATGTAAACCCCTTGTACCTCTCTTCTCTTATTGTAACTCTCTGTTTATGTACAGCTCATTTCATCTTTTCATAGTTCCTATCTATACACCATTCCCTCCAAATCATCTTCACACCACGAACTCTCTGGTCATCTTTCATAGCTTAGAGGTAAATCCACCTTTCCTTGAGTTCTAATTGATGATTCCAGGCCTCCTTGATCAAATGGACCTCCCCTAAATATTACACACCATTCGACATTAAACTCATTCCAATTTTTCCCTAATACTTTTCCAAGCAGGGTGCAAATAAGAAATCTTCACACTTTTCTTGACAGAAGCTTTGCTCTCTAGAATCTTCTGCTTCACAAAGATAAGTGGGACAAAACAACAGATATTTGGCAATAGGACAGGAAGAGGGGCATGAAGAACCGAAAGGAGAGGAGGCCAAGGGAGCTCACCTGGTTGCAGACGGGCTTGTACTTGAGTCCTGGCTTGTTGAGGATCATCTCCAGTTGCCTGCGGTTGAAGTTTGACACCCCGATGGACTTGGCCAAACCTGCATCCTTACACTTCTCCATGGCCTGGGGAGAAAGGGGTTGTGAGGAATTATTTGTGCAGTTGGCTTATCACGATAAATGCAAGACAGAAGTGTGAGAACAACAACTTTCAAAATATGACAATGAAAATAGCTAGCAGTGATTGTCAAGAAGAGAAAAATGCAAATAGCAAATAGGGGAAGAAGATAGTGGCAGCAAGAGTAAGAATTTCTATCTCTTCCTTAGGAAACTGGATAGATTAATTCACAGGCAAGGAAAGAGATTCCTGTTCTCCTTTCCCCTAAGTCCTGTGCCCCACTCTCTAAACATTCCTCTCATGTGTTTTTCCCTTCATCTCACCAAAACTACTCTTGTAGTTTCTGAATTTCTAGATCTAATGATGCATATTCCATTCTCTCCTATTGAATCTGGGAAACAGACTTTCTCTTTTTGTCTTCCTTCTCTGTGTCCTCTCCGCCAAGCACTCACCTCCCAAGTGGTACAGAGATCCACTATGTCAAATATCAGTTTTCCATTTTCATCTGTTGGTGAAAGTTCCTCACCTGGCTGAAATAGAAGCAGTCATTTTAATGATGTCACAGATTAATTTCCCCACCCATAGCTGTGATCCCAGGTACCTTTAAGGACACTCGTCCTCCATGAGACAGGTGGTACAATGCTCCAGAAAGTGATGTGTGCTATGTGTTTTAGATAGGAAGGTGTAAGGAATGTATTCAGGAGACAAGCTTCCTCTAATCTCTTACAAATGTTGTATGTATGGAAAAGGACCATTTTCTAGGTCTTAATCGAGTTTCATAGTTGACTTATGTCACTGTATTCTGCCCTTATAATTTCCTCTGTTGAAGTACCTCTCTTTGATTTGGAAATACCTTGATATCCTAAAATACTGGATAGTACTCTTGTACCTGGTGGGATTATCAGACCAACTGAAGATTTGATAGTGTATGGGCAGGACTGTGAATCACACAGGGTCAGCAGAAGTTGGGAGACCCAGAGGAGATCTCTTAGGGTGATGACCATGAGCCTTGAACCGCTCCAAAGCCATAATCACCACCAATGAAAAACTTTGGGTCAACCATAATAAAAGTGTTGGAGTTTAGAGATAAGAATAGACAAATGATACATTTTTGTAGACTATTTCATATCCTTAAATGTAGCCATGTCTTTGACTTCCCGTAACTCAGTAAACTCTTTTGCATTAACTAGCCTGAGTAGTTTCCTGTAACTTTAAATCAAAAGTTATACACTACACAGTAATTCATGGCTAAATACAGCTTCAAACTCTATTGTGAAAGAAGAGGTGGCAGAATAATAAAGCTTTGCAAGTCCACATTAAGGGTTTCTAATTTAAGAACCATTTATAGTGGCTTCTGCCAAATCTGCTTCAGCTTGAAATGGGGAGAGATGGTGGAAACTCATTGTGTATCACATGTGCAGCAGTTTTGTTGGGCATCACAACACATGAAACTCTGTGTCTGTGAACATCCCAAGAGATGGACTCAAAAGCCATAACTAAGACAGTGCCTTGAAAAAGACTATTGTAATTTCCTCAAGTTTTCGAAGAAGAGGCTTTGAGGTTGCTGTTCTCTCTTCTCTTGTAGGTGTGCATTAGAGAAGTAGGATTCAAAATTTACTCAAAAGAAAGGAAATTAGGTGTTATACTTACGGTTCTTCTTCCATGTAATAATCCCTACATTCTCCTAAGAAACAGCTCTGTTCAATTTTCCATATAAACAATGTTTATAATGGCAGCAGAAGTGCAATTTTATGCTCATACTCAAACTGCATACCTTTAGAGACATTGGAGTATGGATGAGATAGAGGTCAACATAGTCCAGTTGAGCTTTTTTCAGTGAGTTTTCCAAGGCTGGTTGGACCAACTCTGGTCGATGAAAAGTGGACCAAAGCTGCAGAGGTTAAAGAATGGAGGTGATTTTGAATTAATATTGAACAAATCTTATTAGTTTCTGCCATCTAACATTTAGACATTTTCCTACTGCTTCAAAATTTATGACCACTGGCAAATATATTCTCTTCCTTCTCATGATTCCTTTGGCTCTGACCTATCCTTATGAACTTTATTATATGCTGGATGTATAGTTTGTACGTCTACTGAATAATAGGCGTAAATTCTTAAAATGTAAAAGTTAGTATCAAGTAACAACCATGCTGTTACCTGAATTATCTTTGGTAGAGTTTACAACTCATTTTAACAGTCTAATTCTTCTATCCATTCAACCCAATGCTTAAGAATAGCTATTTATGTTGCTTAGAAACTAAAGCAACCTAAAATGACGGTAAAACAAGTTTCGAACGTGTTCATTATGCTGGACACAATTTAGGACATTTTAAGTATCTATTATTTAATACTCCCACAGCATTCTTATATTGCTTTCTATCTCACTGATAAAGATAGCAGTTGAGAGAATAATAAGAAATCTTAGAAAATTACCCAGGGGATAAGAAAAACCATAGCATGATTATCATTCTCTGTGATTCTATACTGCATGTCAAATCACACTGATGGCAACTGGAGCTCAAAAAAGTAAAGGGACTTTCAGGTCATAAATTGGAATGCAGTCAAAATGAAAAGTGATCATCATTTCCTGAGTTTGATATCAGTTTTAATATGGGAATGTGTGTGAATAAATTTGAACCCAGAAGCAAAAGTCACCCACAACTACTGATCCAGTCATAGAATTATCATCTTCACACAATCACATTAAATATATGTGCACACAAGCTCATCACAGGCACAGTACCTTTGAAGTGTAGAATATGTCTTCTCTCTTCACACTGCCATCTGCAATCTTGCTTCGGATGGCCAGTCCAACCTGCTCCTCATTATTGTACAAATGAGCAGAATCTATATGGCGGAACCCAGCTTCTATTGCTAATTTTGTGACCTCCAAAGCTTTACTTCTGGGAACCTGGAGAAGCAACCAAAGGTAGTATCTGGTGATCAGTGTGGCTGAGAGGTAGTTCAGGCACAAGCATTGCCTTTTACAAGAATCAGCTTTTCCTCCTGTCTGTATGTTGGGTGAAAATCCCATCTAAGTTTGCCTGGGTCTTTCCTGGCTAGTAATAAAGGTTGAGCATTCCAGAAACACCTTCAGTCCCAGGAAATCTCTGGTTGATCACTATTATGGAGGTACCAAACAACACCCTCAGATTCAGTGATTTGTTGGAAAAGTTAACAGAATTCAAATAGTCCTAATTATTTTTAAATATAGTGATATTATACATGGTAAAAATCACACAGAGTATGGAAGGGAAACAGTTCAAGCTCATATGAGTTCTCTCCCAGTGATATTACACAGAACGTTCACTTAGACTTCCTCCAACATCATATTTGGGAAATGCAGTCTACAAGAGATGTTATTTGGTGTCTCAGTTCTTGAGATTTTGACTGGGTGCTAGTTACACCGACCCGACTAGGGTTCACATGGGAAATAATGCATCTGTGAATAGTAGTCTATTATGTTAAGTCTTTTCTGCACAGCCATTCTGGCTACACAACAGAACTGAACACTAGGAGTAAAGACGTATACTCTGAGGATATCGGTTTATACATTAAAAATTCACCGAAATCTGTAAGAATTTAGTAAGGTACCTTTCTGCCATAAAAAAAAGGCTATTTCTTTCAGGAAAGATAGAATTCCAGTGAAATTTAAAATTACTGACTTATTGACTAAATTTGGATAAAGATTTGAAGGGTATTTTTTAATGACAAGAATATAAATTGTTTTCCATTTTTATATGTATTTAAGAAGCTTTCTTTTTTCATTGAAATTACAAGGAACTAGATACTAACTCAAAGGTTTACCAAGGCTGCCGCTTCAGTGGTGTCCTTATTTTCACTTCCAGACCATGCCAATTTATATTAAAAATTAAACCATTTTTGTCAATGGTCTAGAAAATGTATCCTTGTAGATCATCACAACTTATCGATAAAGTGAGACTCAAATTTTGATAATTAGTCCCTTTTCACACACTTGGTAGCCTGAGGACAGTCTTGGGATACAAGTTTTCTTCCAGTAGCTCTATCTCGAAAATTAGGTATCCATTTTGTTCATTTTTGTGTCATAAGACCGCTCCTACCACTTTGATACAAATATGATGCATACAAAAAAGGACTAAGAATTTAGACTTTCCTTTGTTAGGTTCTAAATTTTACTTAAAATGAGATTGTATTTTTTCTTTCAGGAAGTTTTTTTTTTTTAAAGTGAAAGTAGTACAGTGGAAACTCTAGTCCAGGTCCAGTAATACTGGGTGGTGCTCACTAACGCCGATCGGAATAATGATACTCTGCCAACAGTTTTGTAAACAGTATATCCAGTAATTTTTACTATAAATATTTCTCTGGATCGTATGTTCTTGGAAGAAGGAAAGAGTTCTTCAGTTATAAAAACAGAGAAATCACTCCTATTGCAATTAATTTCCACCAGAGGGAGCTGACGGACACTGTTCTTCAATGCTGAGTTTGACATATTCTGCCAAGCTGGGAAGTAGACACGAACAGAAGAAACAGTGCACAAACTAAAAATAAGCAGTACGTGACCATAGGAACGGACCTCAGTGCTGAACAAGGATTGACTACTTGTTTTCTTCTAGCCTAGGAAACCTAGCCCTGTGAGTCATTCAGAGTAAGGCAGAAACATGAACCTTACAACCCAAGATGGGTTTCATGTCTACTAGGTTTATTCTTTTGAAATCTCAAAACTAAAAGAAATTATTCTTACCTCTGGAGGTGCATAGGTGCCAAATCCCAATACAGGCATGAAGTGGCCATCATTTAGCTTCACACGCTGGTGTTTGGAATCCATTTCCTGTCACTTGTCTGACTAGCAAATATTTGCTGCTTCTTCCCCTCAGAGATTACAAAAGCAATGGGCAGGAAATGGCCCCCTGCAAACGGACTAATGGTTAACCAATGACATGTAGGAGGAGGTACATAGGCAGTCTTACATGGTCTGTGGAGAAAATTTCATCCAGTTCACTTGTTTCTTATCAAAGATAATTCCTAAGTAAATTATTATAATATATGGTTATAAACATTAATTTTTATCTGAAGTATTTTCTATTTGAAATCTCTATATTACTTAAATTATTAAAAAATATTTATAGAACAAATAGCAACCATGTGTTAGACTATAAACACATAGTTTATAGTCTTTTTTGTTTATGCCATGATAATGCCCCTTCTTTATATTGCATCATTTGAAATAATTAACCATTTTACATCTTTCTCTCACATACACATAATTTAAAGGAATGACTAATGAAAATTTTAAAAATTGTTGGCCCTCAATAAAAACTTAAAGTTAAAACTGTAAAAATATTTCCCTTTTTACATTTTCAATCAGAAAATTTATTTTGATTTTTCTTTCTTTGCATTGTAAGAGAAAGATTCATTTCTGATAAAGGTGCAGTCCTGATAAAGCTGTAATCCTGATGAGGGTGCAAATAAAAAAGAAATTCTATGCAGTTTTTCTTGGAGTGTTAATTATTAACAGTTTTTGGAGTTTGGACATCATTTAATATATGCAAGCAGTGCCTTAATAGTATTTGTTCTTCAACCAGGTTTATTAGAGACTATCATGAAGTAACTAGCCAAAAAACTGATAACTATTTTATATAATTTTCCATCTTGTTAAACATTGTTTGTAAAGAAAAACTGGAAATTAATGATATATAAATGCATGAATAATTTTCATATGGGATAGTTTTCACTTGTTCCTTCCTTTGGAGGGCAGATTAGAACACGACGAATGTGGTTTGCACAATACATTATCAACATCTTGGAGCTGTCAGAACTTTCAATGCCCTGATTGCTTCTATTTACTTTTCCTCAAACAATAACCAAAAAGTAACTTGAGAAATAGGTAAATTTTTATACATTGATACAATATAATATAAAATCATTGAAAGCTTTTCAGCAACATGGTGGATCAAAAGGCATGTCTCATGGACTCATCAAGAAGTAATCTGAAATTGACTAAAATAAACGTATTTATTTATGGGGGGGCTGAGTAGAAATGTAGTTTGATCCCAAGGGCAAGAGATTAGGTGAAGAGACGTGGAATAGTCCATCTAACCCACTGAGGGGAAGCTGGGGTGTGAATTTTTGAAACAGTAAGCTATTCAAAAGCCAGTAGGTATTTGGGGAACTAATAAAGGGCACACACAGTCCAGGCAGATACATGTTCAGAAAAGAGCAGACAAGGCCTTAGGGTTTTATGTTGGGCTTATGCTAAGACTAAGAACATACCAAGCATATTAGTTGATAATCATCATGACACAGAACAAATCTATATAGAGTGGGAAAAATGTCTATTTTTTGAAATGCTCAATTAAATAAAATAACAAGGTATACAAAGAAGCTGGAAAACACAATACATTATAAGAAAGAAAACGAATTGACAGAAATTATTCTTGAAGAGTACTGAAATTAGTAGAGAAAGGTTTTTAAACAGCTGTCTTAAATAGGGATAAAATTTCCAGTTAAAATATGGAAATAGAACTACAGGAAATTGGGAAAAGCATATATGGAAAAATGAGTATCTCAACAATGATGTAGAAATTATAAAAAATAAACCAAACAAATTTTGGAGCTGAACAATATAACTGAATTGAATAACTCACTAGAGGATTTCAACAGCAATTTGAGCAGAATGAAGATATAATCTACATGTTTAGGGATAAGATATTTTACATCCTTGAGTCTAAGGCAAAAAAAAAAAAAAATGAATAAAGAGATGTGAACAGACCCTAAAGGGCTTGTAGGACACCATTAAGCCAAGTAGTATACACAGCATTGGATTCTGAGAAGGAGAAGCATGAGCCTATGGGGGTGGAGAGATTATGTGGTGAAAACAATCATCAAAAAGTTCTCAAATTGGCAGCAGACATGAATTTAAATATGTGAACAACTTAAAGAATTGGAGTTCAGATAGAGACGTAGGCCCACATCCATTAAAATGAAACTCTAAAAGCTAACAGCAAATAGACTATCTTAAAAGCAGCAGGAGAAACAAAACTCTGTATTATGTACAGAACAATAAATTCTGTTCAAGATGATCAACGGATTTTTTTATTAGACAATTTGAAGAACATAATAGGTAATACATTTAATGTGGTAAAAATAAAACTGCCAACCAAGAGATCTATATTTGGCAAAAAAATTTTTTTTTAATTAGAAAGTTATTAAGACAATGTGAGATAAAAGCTACAAGAGTCAATTGCCATTATATTTGCTTTGCAAGAAATGGTAAAGGGACTAATTCAGCTTAAAATAAAATAATTTTAGACAGTAACCTGAAACCATATAGAAGTACAAAGCCCTTTAGTAAAGGTATACATGTGGCAAAATGTGAAAATATGTATTTTTGAAAGTTTGGTTATATTCTACACTTCTTCAAGATTTAAAATACAAATGTGTACAAGTAAGCATAAATCTGTGTTAACATGTACACAATGTATAAATTTGTAATTCATGAAATCAATAATGTGAAGTGGAAAAGAAGCTGTGGAACAAATTTTGTATAGGATTGCAGTTAAATTGGCATTGCTTTCAAAGTAGATTGTTATAACTATAGGGTGCTGTATATCATCCCAAGAGTAACTACAAAGAAAATAACTATAGAAAAAATAGAAGAGCAATTGAGAAAGGAATACAAATATTATTAAAAATCATACACAAAAACATTGTTAATTGAGTATATGAGGATATGAAGGACAAAAAACTAAAGACATAAAAAAATGACAAAGTAATTGCAGTCATGTATTACCTAACATTAGAGATATGTTCTGAAAAATACATGTTTAGGCCTGTGGACACATTGACGTTAGCCCATTTAACCAGATTTTGGAATTCTAGTCTCCAGAACTTCAAGAAAATTAATTTGTGGTGTTTGAAGCCATAATGTTTGTGGTAATTCATTACAGCAGGAACAGAAAACCAACTTGGACGTAATTTCAGCAATTCTCATTCTCTCTCTCCTGCATCACCAATTTTTTTTAATCTCTGCTAAGTTCTTCCTAAGAGCACACATGCATGCTGTTTTTGCTGTCATCACAAAAATAACCCCATTTTACTCCATTTTTTTATTGGGTAGTTGCTCAATTGCCTGGTCCCCTTTACAGCCAATTATTTGAACATGTTCTACACTATGTATCTAATTACTCTTATCCTACACTTTGTTGAATGCACACTATTCTGACTCTTGCCTCCATCGTGCTATCAAAACATTCTTGACTTTGGAAAGGTCAATAGTCAATCCCAATGGTCAATGTTGAGACTCCATCTTACTTGTCCTATTAATAGCATTTGACTCTTTTCTTCTTAAAACAATGTCTTCATCTGACTTCTAGGACAGAACAGTCTTTCACTTTCTCTTGTAATTTCATCACCACTCATCAGTCTTCTTTCCTCATACATGCATTCCATCGCCATGTAGGGGCCTGGGAAATGTGAAATTTGAAATTGGGAAATTGCCCAACCCAGTATAACAATGCTAGCATGTGATCACTTCCCTGTGGTCCTGAGACTAGGCTGACCCAACCAGCTGACACCAATATAGCTGATACCAACACAGAAGTGCTGAAAGGTGGAGCCCCTCCTTCTATCTCCATGAAGAAGCAGCATTACCACATCACACTACAGAAGAGCCACAAAGCTATCTGTATTGAACTGGGTGAAGAGGTTCAGCCCCAGTATCACTTCCTTAGAGAGCTATGGGACAGTAGTTTCTTTTTATGGCTCTCATCTACACTGTGGCCTGGAGATAGACAGCAATGTGCATCTGAACTGAGAGTCACAAGGCCCAAGACAGGGATGTATTAGGGAAACAGATTGTGTTACTGACTACCCAGGTTGTTGATCCAGTGCAGTTTCCTAACCCCCACAGAGACCTTCATGCTTTACAACAGAAGTTTCTCTAGTCACCTTTCTTTGGGCTGGTGCCTGTGCTCATCACTGGGGTATTTGCAGGCAATTAAGCTACTCCAGCTCTACCCAGCTATGTCTCTGTCACACACTGAACAGGATGCTCAGGGCACTGATCATTCCACTGTCCATCCCGTCACTTGAAACACAGAAAGCCCCACACAGTAAACAAAGATCAAGTATATACCCATCTGCTTTGGCACAGTTGGCTCTTACCCATAAGTACCATCTACTGGCCTGTGAATTGAACTGTGCAACTCAATGTAAAACCTACCAACAGAAGTGCCATAAGGCTATCAAAATAAAGCCAAAATACAGTACTCATGATACTCTACAATCATACCCTCAAGGGCGGAGGTATAAAGCAAAAATAGAGAAAAGAATTCCATTGGAATGAATGTAAATTCAAAGCCAAGAACTCAGCTTCTCCAAATGAGAAAAAAATCCAGTACAAGAATTCTTGCACCATAAAAAATCTAAATGTTTGTTACCATCAAAAAATTACACTAACTCTCCAGCAATGGACTCTAATCAAAATAAAACTGAGAAATGTCAGTTGTAGAATTCAAAGTATGGATTATAAGAAAGCTCAATAAGATCCATGAGAAGGTCAAAAACAAACACAAAGAAACTACAAAAGCACTCAAGGGAAGAAAAAAGAGATACCTATTTTGGGAAAAAATCAAAAATTTGAAAACAAAAAATTCACTGAAGGAATTTTAAAATACAGTTTAAAACTTTGAGAGTAGACTAGACCAGCAGAAGAAAGTATTTCATATCTTGAAGACTAGTTTTTCAAATTAATCCAGTCAGAAATTTTAAAAAGAAAATAATTGTTATAAATGAACAAAGCCTTTGAGACATATGAGATTATATAAAGCCACCAAATCTGCAACTATTAAGCATTTCTAAGGAAGATGAATAGAAGTAAGAAGTTTGAAAAACATAGTAGA